TGTATTTGGTAATTTTGGAAACCCATGTTTTCAAATCTGACTAAAGCATTGCCGAAGTCTCCTCCTTTCCGTCTTAAAAGTACCAGACTGTGGTCATCATCCACACGTTTCAACAAGTTCTAAAGATGTGCCACAGTCATTTTGTTAGGGACACTATGGAACACAAAGCTGAGCAGCTCTTCCTGTGATGACACTGAGCAGACTTCTATCCACCCAAGCAAGAGATGAAGATGAGGAAAAATGTTTTCCTGAGCAGTTTAGAAGTGACTCTATAATGAGATAAATATTTACAGTAAAAGAAAGGCAATTTGATCTCCAAACCAATACAGGAGAATCCAGCACATCCTGGATATGCTTCACCAGGGTAAATCCAGAGCTTTTTATTCCAATCAAACTCATTTAAACAACAAAACCCTTCATGCCTGTGTAATTAATGATTGTTTTGCTTTAACATTGAAATGCTTCTGCATTGAAAGTGTCTTTGGGCTTTCTGAATAAAAACAAATAATCTGTTTTTACACATTTGTAATCTGCCGACAGTCCAACAGCATTGCAGTTCTTAAAACATGCAACTTAGTCAGTGTAAGTGATTTGCCAACCCCATGGATGGCTCTCTTCATAAAGCTGTAGTTTTGGAGCTTGCTGTAGGGGCAGCCACTCAACTCATTTTCAAAGATACCCTTTCTCCAAACTCTTCCTGCTAGTGGGTTAAATTCCAGTTACTTCCGATGGCCTGTTTCAGATGGAAAGTCCTGAACTTTTTATGCCATGTAACAAACTGTTCCCCACACCTAACCCATGAATACACAGCCAAAAGGCAGCACCCCAGCTCTCACCTCTCATCCCACCTACACTGTGCCCGAGCTTCATGTGCTAAGAAGTGAATAGACTTCTACAGCCAGACTTGCAAATTTTAGAATAACTGTTTAGGGAGTAAAGTGGGTATTTCTTACAATTCAGAGCAACTTGGGAATATAAAAGCAAAGTATTGCTAAAAAATTAGAAAGAAAACCCTTAAAATGAGCACAGATGCCACTTTGGATGGGGACAAATGGGACACCTTTATTGGGTTTTTGACTGAGCAGGCACAAATACATTTTAATGTAGCAGAATTAAATGTTTGTGAGCTGTAATTAGAAGACTGAATGACAGCTCTTCACAAATATGAACAGATCTACCAGAACAAAGTACGCAGAGAGGTTGCTCCCAGCTGATCCCAAAAAAGCATCCAGTTGCCAAGGAGTTACTTCCTGGTCTACACAGAGACATCACCAATCCAGAACATCAGGCTGCCCAGAGTCCACCCATACTGGTAAGTTAAATGTCTTTCCAAGCTGGTGCTGTTACTTAGGTAAGCAATTTAAGTGCAGCCGTTGCATACAAGTGCACGCTACGTTCCTTAGATTTAGTTTGACAGCTATCAGAACTGGGGCTACTGTTAACCTGCCTTTCTAAGCACAGACACAGTGCCACTTTATTTTGGAATTACTGCAAGTTGTGGTAGATGATTGAGGGATTTGAAAAGAAAAAATGTGTTAACTTGTGTAACCTGGCTGTGGAGGGTGACCTGACACAGCACACACTCCTATAATCAAGGAAACTACATATGCTGAAAAACTCCTACAAATATTTCATATAAATAACTCTCGGTCTAAAGCCAGAAGGAACCATTAATGAAATATAATGATGTAAACTAACAGGAAATCATTCAAGTCCTAACGTGTCCAACCCAGTAACTTATTAAAATGAGTGACTTTCTCCAGAGGTTCAATCATTTTTTGATTTGAAGATAGAGATGGAGAACATTACTTCCACAAATAGTTTGTTGCAATGAGGAGAAAAAGTGCAATCTTCCTGTTACAACTGTGTGGGTTTTTTTTTTTTATTATTAACTTCAGGTTCAGGATGCTGGCTCTTGTTCAGCGTTTTTCTGCTGGGATAGAGAGGCCTGTGGTAGCTTTTCATCTTCAGGATACATGTATATTCATCAGTCTTCTTAATGTAATGTAACATGAGCTCTTGCAGAACCTTTCTCTTCTGCTGAATCTATCTGTGTTTCTATGCCTTACCCAGTATTTCAATATCCCTTCTGAAATGCACGCGCTCCTTCCTTACCTACATAAGGCTACACAACAATAAAGTTTTCCCTTACTCTACATTTTTCTCCTGTTTATGCAAGAAACATTTTAGTATCTTGGCTCACAAATTGTCCAGTTCTAACCTTTAATCCCCTGTAAGAATAGTTTCCATATTCCTAGAAATACTCATTTTGGAGATCTTTCAGATTCTGTGCTCCTACATATATAACCTGGCATTTAGTTGTATTGAAATGATACCAGTCACACATTAACTTAAATTAGCAAAGAGAAGCTAATCAGTCTTTGGAGTAAATGACATTTTTTGTTTTCTACCCAAAAATTGTGGAAGAAAATTTGCTAACATAGGTCTTGGAACCTTTCCCAGGAAACCCTTCTGGAAACACCCATATTTCTTTACTGACATCTGAAAGGGTAGTTCTCATTAGAAAGCACCTGGTTTTTTTAAGCAGTTCTTGGCTTGAAGGTCCACATTTGTTTTGGCAACATAAAGCAACATTTCATGTGATCACACAATGTCACACAGAGCATGTACAGTACTTTTTACTTCCTGCCCTTGGACAAATATTCAAGCTTCCAAATAAAATAGATTCACAGACCAGCACTACTGTTATTTCCCCCCTCAAATATGAAGAGTTCCACCCCCTCAAATATGAAGAGTTTGCAGCCTAATGACAAACAACAAAGTTCAAGCTGCACTTCAATTTGACACAACAGCAGATATTAGGAATGTTGTCATTTTATTCTGTTCAGTCTTTCAAGTAATAAGGAATACTGGTATAGATGACAGGAAATTCAACATTTACATCCTTCTTCCCCCAGTACTTCCTCCCTGTCTTACAACCCTGAATGCCAAAGTCTACAGTCTTTATCCACACATACTTCATGTCTTTCAGCTGAGGAAAACGTAATTTCATAGGCAATTCTTTAGCTTGGAAGAGCTGAAAACAGACACTTATTTCTAGAGGTTCAAGAGATCTTTTTGCTAGCTTCCCATTAGCTGAATTTAAGTAGATGGATCCACTAATGCTTCATTATGTAGCAATTTTCAGAAGCAGCTTTTCAGGACCTGTGATAAATTTGATATCTTCAAACCAGTAGCATGTTATGTCACATACAAAATCACATTAATTAGCTAGGCTTATCTGAGCAAGTACTGATCAACTAAGACAGTGAGACTATATGACTGATAGCATTATTTAATAACCTCCCTCAGCTGTCCACCATCAGCACCCAGCTTGTTCAGGAAGCATTTCTGAACAGTTCAGCATTTTCAGCTCAACTAATCGGTGCAATACTTTAAAACAGCCTCTTGTAAGTTGTAGTAGCAGTTGAGCACCTAGGTAGAGACTGTCAGCCAGCCACCCTAAAGTCTGTTCGTGAGGAATTTGACTTCAAGAGCACATACAAAAGAAAAGCACGCCTGTCACAGGACACAGAATGGAAGTGGGCCTTGACATCTTGAGGGAATTTCCCCTCCCACATTGCTTTGGCTTTGGAAAAACAGTTTTCTCCAAACCTTGGCAGAACAATAACCATCTTTTGCATACCTACCTCCCCCAAACACCTAATGAAGATCTCCACAGCCACTAGCACATCTGAAAAGTTAACCTAGTGTGTGAAAGCAGGCAGTTTTTCAGTGTGCAAGGAAGTGCTATAGGAGTATATTTCAGATGCTGTGCCTCTTCTGTCACATTTATCAAGGTCAGTAGGAAAGGTGCAGTAGGGAGCAGAGGCACTGAAATTCCTTTTCCAGCATACACCTGCTCTCAGTCTACAAGGTGGACAAAATTTGCTGACGCTACAGTAAAAGCATGAACACCCACAATTATAAGCTGGTCTGATGCCATGTTGTAACCCTTTTCATGATTCCATCTAGAATTTTCTAGAATTGTGATGTCCTGATGCCTGGTAGGAAGATAATCATATAGCTGGAGTTATCTTTGCCATGTAGCAACCAGGCACCTGCTCTTCCACCCCAATTTCAGTTACAGTTCAGTAGCAACAACTGCCAGAGTTGACTGAAATTTGTTGGTACATAGCCATGATAATATTTAAAGCTACAGAGACAGATAATATGGTGGGGGTAAGAAAGATAGATGTCTTCCACCATAGGCTCCCTCTGTGTGTTCCAGTGGACTGGGATGAAGAGGACAAGAAGATGACACTTGATAGTGCAGTATTTCCCTTCCCCTCAAACATCCAAAACAAGTATAGATGTTGCCAGTTCTGGCAGATGACTTCTATAACAGGTTCTCTTTCTCCACTGTAATATATCAGTCAAGTTTGTCTCAACTAGGTTAGAACCAAGAAAAGGGAAGTTATACATAGTTTAAAATAGTTATACTGCCAAAGGCAGAGTCAAATGTAACACACTTTAGTATGTGCTTTCCTGTATTTGGTCTTTTTCAAAGAAAATTTCCATCCTGAAGTGCCTTAGCACAAAAAGCATAATCATTTACACCGTTTTAAAAGCTGCTTTTCACATAGGAAAAGGTCAGTCAAACAATTCAGATCTTCAACTAGATCCCTCTGTGATTAATTTCATTATAATCATATATGTGATGTATAACATCCTCCAAATAAAGGTGAAGGCCAGTAGACACTGACCCCTACCACAGATATGAAGGTAAGATCAAGTCGTAAGCATATTCCCAATATATCAGTCATCACATATTTCCATGTCAGTCTTACCAGGTGCCATCTCTCAGCTGAAACAGCAGTATCACCTGGCACATTGGGAAGGGCTCACATACAGCATTATGGCATTAACTGGAGATTCCCTCAAGCCTTCTGTCACTGGATGCCCCGAAACAGACAAGGCAGGAGCTGCTCTCATATACGACTACTCCAGCCTAGCAACGTCCCATTCCTAAAACTAGGATGCTAGCTAATGCCTCAGCTTTAGCAAACCCGTAGTTCATTCTCTAAGCCATAGATTTTTGCTTTTAAGTTTTTTAGTTCTCCTTGAATTTTACGGGTTAGTCTGTTTCCTTGGCGGATCTCACGTAGAACTGCAAGATCCTGGTCTGGTCCGATAGTCAGAGTCACCTAAAAAGGAAAAGAAAAACAGGTTAAGGGAAACAAAGCTGTACAGAATCCAGTTTAGAGAGTATTATGGTGAGGATCTAAGGGAGAGAACTCTAAAGGAGACCCTTTGTAGCTAGCAAAGAGGACACTTGAGCCCATATCAGTAGGCTAATGTACATCACCAATAGAGGTGCACCAGAACAAAAAATAAAGAACAAAGCTTTCATACACTCTGGCAAAGCAGAGATATGGATAGAGTAGAATCAAGTCTAGCCATAACCTGTTGACTCCTTTCTAATTCTGGTATTATTTAAACACCCACAAAGAGTCACATTAAAAGTATTTTTCTACTTTTATCTAGTTCTAAGTACCTCACCTGATACAATGACATTTTGTCATCTTTTGCTACTACAAGTAGAGGTGGTTTAACTGCTGTGGCCAGCCTGCTCCCTTCTGAACTGCACATGGCCCAAGCACAACACCCAGTCTCAGGCCATGCCACACGGCCCATACTGAGCTGAGAGGAGGCTGCAGGATGACCAGAACTGCGGATGGTGAGCTAGCCAGGGCTGCCATTCCCTGTCGCCGTGGCACTGGAGAGCATGCCAGCCCACTCACTTCCCATGGCAGAGCAGCACAGCCTTGGAAGTTGCTCTCAAAGAGGGCTTCTCTTCTGTCCACCCTTTGGGATGTCTTACTGTCATCATGTAGTCCTTGGTTAAGTATTTTAATATGCAAATCAAGAAATTTAGTTATCTGTAGCCATTTTGACCTCAAGTGATGAGGATATAGAGATCCCTCTGGAGACTACTAGCAAGTATTTTGCTCCTCTGCCCTCTTGTGGTTAAAAGTATGAAGAAATGAGGACTACAATTAAGAGCACACCACAGTTAAGGAATGTGCAGGTCTGTAGAAAAGGGATGCATAAGCAATTTCTCCCCATTTAAATATGCTGTTTAGTCCTTAAAGAATACACTTTTAAAATTCTTAGTCCAACAACAACAAAAAAGTAAAAAAAAATTAAAGCCTTTAGAGAAGACAAATACATTCATCTAGGTCAACTGAGCTCTGTGCCAAAACTACAGAGAACAAGTGAATCTGTGTGAAAGAGTCAGCTGGACAAAAGCTAGGTTTGAGTGGATGATGTAGGCATATCTTAGATGAAATATTTCATCCTAAACTCCAAGCAACATCAAGGCTGTGGCTTCCCCTCTAAACCGTTCATCTACACATCTGGAAGGAATCACATCAACTTAAAGACATTGTTTCTGCAGTGATTTTTGCAGAGTTACAAATGAGTTATTAAGTATTGTGAATATTCTATTTATTCCCTTAAGTCAATGATCTACCTCTTTTTGGAACACAAGCAAACTCTATGACCCTAGACAGAAAATCAGTCATAATTTTCTTTGCAGGATATACTTCTGAAACAAATTACTGCCTTGCAATTTTGACACAGTTAAGCAAGCTATAGGTTTCAGATAAGAACTTTCAGAGCTGCAAGAAAAACACACAGCTAATGTATAGTCAGGACAGTTCCTGGCAAGCTTGATGCCTGACTGATTGACAAAGGCATCTGTTTTGCTTCACAAAATATGTAGTAGGGCAAGTTTTCTCAAATATTAATATCTAAAGGAACACTTAGGAAAGAAATTATTTAAAAAGAAAGCACTTTGGAAAGAAATCATATAAAACTAGGGAAATACTGCATCTAAATACTGAGAATACCTCTCTATACAGTAAGCCCATAACAATCTACATCAGAAATGCTTAGCTATTACCTTAAAGAGCTGCTTCTCTACATCTTTCAACTTCTGCCTAAGCTGTTTAATGTCATTCCTGAAGCCTTCCACTTCCATACCACGACGTTTCTCTAAGGCCTCATATCTCTGAGTCATCAGCTTCAGGCGCTGCCCCATCTTCTCCGAGCGCTCCTATGGAGATGCAAACCCAACAGGGTAGACAAAAGAAAGGCTGCAGGACATCTCCTAGCGAGCAGATGATTACGGACTAATTACCTTGAAGAGTTCTCTGCCAGCAGCCCCCTCCTCACGAACCCTGGCCAGCTCACCTTCCAGGGTGACACACTGCTCTCTGTACATGTTCGACAGGCGCTGCTCCTGCAGTAGCTGTTCTTGTAGCAACTGGGGCAGAGGAACAGAAATGAACCAACTCAAAAGCCACTGCTCACAAAATTTCCCCTGCTCTGGAGAAGCAACTGTGATATGTTGGCAATATGATGGGAAAATAAAAATTAACAACTGGAGCTACAGCTAGTGAAGTAACTCGGTAAAGACAATATTCTAGCACCACTTTCATTATCAAAACCTTTTGATTAGGTTATCAGTTTTACATGAATGCTTAGCATCAGTTAAAGAATGCTCTTCTCTTCCCCTTAAAAAATAATATTCACCTCCTACTGGAATTCCCATTTTCACAGCTGCCTGCCCAGTACAGAAGCATCTGCATTCAGTGGTAGGTGAAAACAATTCCCTGTGGCCTGTTTACTTTCAACTTCCTTATTGTCATTTTACCCACTTCAGATCCCCTAATTTCTCACTGGACATATATACAGGTATACAGGAAGAAAAATCCTGACTGCTGCAGAAGAGCTGGGGGACATCAACTGAGAGGACTTACCCTCCCCCAACAGCAGCAAAGAAGATACAGACACTGCATTTTAAATTCATTAGCTGAGAGCACATAAACTAAAAGCAAGGCACGTGCCACAAGCAGGTTAAGAACTGCTGGCCCACTTAACTGGTTTGCAGTACAGATTTGTACTGGGCAAAACACAAACTGACAGTGAAGTGCCATCATAAATATTAACTATACATTTTGTCTGAAATTTGCAAGCAATGATGATTTTGAGGCAGGAGAGGGTTTTTTTTATGTTAGTGCCAACAATAAAGTAACTTACCGCAAGCCAGTACAGATCTGAAACAACTGCTAGCTACTGCCATCTTGGCAAAACCCAGATGCTTGCAATTTGCAAGAAAAAGTCCCAAACTGTTAAAGATTCTCTACTTAGGACAAAAAAAAAAAAAAAATTTTACCTTTATTTCTCTCTTGTGGGGTTTCCAAGCTCCATCATCTACTTGAAGCACCTTCTTGGTATCTCTCTGCTTCTTTTTTCCTGGCTCCCTGCTGGTAGTAAGCCTATCCAGATCTTTGTCAAGTTTCCTCAACAGACTGTCTCTCTCTGCTATCCACGCTTTCTCATTGGCTCGGGCATCAAACTTGAGCTGGAGAAAGTCACGGGTACTCTCATACAAGAGATTTTGAGTCTTATGGAGTCTGTAAAAAGGGATCCCAGTGGAGTTAACTTCATTGCTAGTTCCTACCTTAATGTCCTCAGTCATCATTGCAAATTAGAAATACAAAAGAAAAAGACAGGTGCTTTCCTAACGAGTTCAGCTTTTCTCATCTAATGAGAGTGATATTCTTCCAACGTGAAATAGGATTTTTAATATGTAGATTACTCCATCTCCTTACACACACACTACCAAACAGATGGCTGCATAATTTGCTTTTCTGCCTGCTGCAGGAAGTAACATACTGAAAGCCAAAATCTCTATTGTTCCTCTCTCTTCTTGTCTCATGACTACGTGTCTTATGGTCATTCTCTCACACTCACTTATCTGTTATAGTTTTGATCTTGTCCTGGTCCCTCTGATGCTGGACCTGGGCTTCTTCCATATGAATCCGTCTGTCCTCTAGTAGTGCTTCAACCTGTTCCTTGGACAATCGTGTCTGTTCTTCTAGCTGAGCTTGCAGGGCCTCCACCTGAATAAGCAAACATTAGACATTACTCAATAACATCGCACAGCAACTCTGCTCCTGTTCTTTGAAGTCTGTTTTAAATTCCAAGATTCAGATCAAAGACTCTACTCAATTATACCTTTGAAAGTTCAAATTTCTCAAATTTTAATTTTCATTTTAATGTTAAACATTTCAAACGACTAACGCTAAAAAAATCATGCTATGGGGATGACAAAAGTATTGCAAGCAGCAATAATAGATCAAAGATATTGGAAAGATTTAAACTGCATACAGGGAATGACAATTCCTGTAAAATGTGCAGAGACACTTCTGTCCCCATGCTACCATCTTCCACTTAAATGAACACATAAAAATACCTAAATTCTAAGAAGGCAGCAAGTCCACATCTTGAAAAAAAGAAATTACTCAACCAGAATGATTTACTAAATGTAAACAAGATCTAATGCACATAGTCAGGGAGACAAACTGGAATGAGTAATGGAAAAATGTGCATCTGACCTACATGTGAGAAACTATCTGAAAAAACTTGGTGTGTATTTAGATTGCATATTTTTATCACAATTTGGTGTGATGCTCCTGCTCCAAAATAAATGTTAGACAGCGTCCTGGTTTGGGGTAGAATAGAATTAATTCTGTTCAGTGATTTTACTTTCCAGCTAAAGCTCTTCTAACTGCACTTTCTGAAGTTAGCAGCATATTTTTGCAGAGAATGACTGCTTTTAGCAGTGATAACACTCCGTGTTTAGAGTTACCAAAGATTGGTGTGCAGACCAAGGTCACTGCTAAATCCTGTGTACCATACGGAGAGGGCAGAAAGTAAATGCCGCACCTGCGGAGAGGAGCGGACAGGATAAGTGACCCTAAACTGATCAACGGGGTATTCCAACCCATAACCCTCATTCAGTATGAAGCTGAATGAGCACAAGGGCCAAGTCCCTTTTCTCGTTTGCTTCTCCTTCAGTGGCTGGCATCTGAGGAGGACTCTGTCCGTTCTGCCTTTGATCCCAATCAGTGTGTTCATGAATCCAGTTCAGAATCCAGCTCCTGTGCCCAGTTGCCATCTGCTGCTGAGTCCAGCCTGGGACTTTTCCCTGGGGCCTGCTCCACAGCACCGGGGGTGATGGTGACATATTGCCATTGGGGGGAGCTGGGTTCAATACCGGTTTTGTATGTGTTTGTTTAGATTCCATTTTATTAGTAGTAGTAGTATTAGTAGTATCATTACTGTTTTCATTAGAGCTGTTTTGCTTTTCTAACCGGCAAGTCTCTCGCCCTTATTCCCTTTCTCTTCCCCATCGGGGGGGAGGGGATTAACAGAGAGCATCTGTTACAGGTCTGGGGGCAGCCCTGACCCCAAACCCTTCCAGCCAGCCAACCCACCACTAGGTCAGCTCGACAAACTAAAATCAATCTGCTATACAAGTTTGCTCTTTAATTTGTTTGTTATCTTGACTCATCCTTCCTCATGTTTTACATACAGCTTCTGCTACCTTCCTCAAGGCATGATTCTGTACACGTTACCTTTCATTCTGTCACACTGTCTACACCCCGTCTTTCACTGAAGCCTAGCAAAGGGAAAATTTCATTATACTAGTGCATCTTGTCAGGGCTGCCTAATGCAGCCTCAGGCACATGGCTTTTGTCAGACTTCCACAAAATACCTAACCCTGTGTAGACCATTGGTGAGTTTAATGTAAATTCACAGCCACAAGCAAATGATGGAAGATATCAATTACACATTTTATATTTAAGGGCAACACATTCTAGTTGACAAAATGTCTTGATTATGTAAAGCTTTCAGGATCAGATCCAAATTCTTAAATCTAAACCTACATTCATCATAAAGAAACTGATAGAAAGTGAGAATACATAGTAAGACATGGGGACTGATAAAATTGATATGTCTACATCTTATCTAAGCATACAGCATAATTGTCTATCAATTTCCTGGACAGCCAGGAATTACAGCCATTGGACAACAAATGTTTTTACCTGAAGTAGAAGTGTTTGATTATCTCTCAGATATCTCTCAGGACTTTCTGTTTTTTCTCCTTTTGCCGCTGGTTTTGAAGTGCTCCTCTTGGTACCTATTGCAGAAATTTAAAAGTAGAAAAGAGTTTTGCAATCTACCTGCAGTACCTTTCCAACCATGAAATATCATACATTCTGACAGGCCTACAATAACAGGGAAAAAGCTTGCCATGGCTACAGTCACAAGGACTTCTAGGAGAGCTAGCTGGAAGAAGAGTTTCAGAACTTCTGGTGACCACATAATGATCTCCACACTATCACACCACAATTTTAGGCAACCTACCCATTTTCTTGACATACACAGAAAGCAAACTTTAGACATTTCCTTAAATAAATGATGAATAGGCAGATGACACAGCTGCACAAGCACATAGCCTTAAGTAAGTTGTGTACTCATTAGCTAATATCAGTCAAATTGGAAGAAGCAGTACTGTCAAAAGAGCAAACCAGTAAGTAGGTGTGCAGACCCACACTGCTGTCTACATTAAAAGCAGACAGAACCTCACACCTTGGAACAGCTGTGGCTAAAGGTGTCTGCTCCGTTGGTACCTGCATAGCTCCAGAACAGCCATTCCACAGTCATAACAGCCTCTTGCTCAGCTGAGCAGATCACAGACATGGGTCAGCTCAGCTTATTTCAAGATTTTGAAGGGAAGCCAAAAGTACTGCATGTATTTGTATGTACACAAATACATTTAGGGAACTTAATGGAGGTATACCAATGTATTCACAGTATGGAATTATTTTGGTATACTGGACACAAACACAAAAAGAAGTATCAGCAGCTGAGCTGCTGTTAATCAGCTTGGTATGGTACCTGTTCTAGAAGTGTCACTTCTTTCGTGTGACTCTTTGGATTTAGCTGGCCTTTGCAGAACAGTAACCTACAGAAACAAGATTAGATGTCTGTGCTGAACACTTGAATTCTACAAAGTTGCAATAATCAAGAACAAATCTTAAAGAGTAAAATGAGATATCCAAAAGAACAGCATTACCTTACTTCTACCACAAGACAAGGAAGACATTCATAAGTGTAATGTCCATGTTGAAAAGTTTCCTTTATCATGGCTGAGTTTTGCCATTTCTGCCTCTATTTTTTTTTTTCACCAAAACAACTGGAAAGTAATCCTGCCTTTGCTGGCTTCA